TATATATATATATAAACAAACACAGATGCAGAAGCTGTAAGACTTGGGGCAAAAACTAACAGGATTTTAACAACTGTGTTTCAATGTCATCACATAGCTGGGGAATCCCCCCAGAAAAATATTTAAAAGGTGTTGGTGGCCATTTTAAAAGTTTATGGCTAAACTATATCAGTGTTTCTTAAAGTTGGGATCGCCAGTGGGGCTTCAGAAAGCTAGAGGAAAAATAAAGGGGGAAAAGCACCTTGTCACCTTGCATGCATCTTAGACGTTATTCTCATTAAACAACTACACTCCAAAAACAAATAGTTGGATTTACTTAACTAAGTTACATCAACAATTTCCATTTAACTGAGTTGAGTCAGTGTTACGTAACTTTCACAATTTATTTCAATGTAAATGTGCAAGTGGTTTTACATTTACTCAGCTCAATTTAGTGGAAATACTTGATATAACTTGGTTAAATAAATCCAACAATCTGTTTTTTGTCACTTTTCTTCTGTATTGTGTTCCAAAAATCTACAAACATCGTCAAATTCCAGTTCCAAACTTTGATCTCAACTGAGATCATATTCAGGAGTTGGTCCTGGAATGAGTCAAGACAATAAAAACACAACACCAAGATAATTGATCTTGATTTTTATTGTTGCATATTTTTAGCAGGTATTTGACTGCACTGAGTCGTCATGGTGGAACTGGTTTCCACAGGTGTGTTCTCCAGTCTCATACCTGCCAAACTTTAATCAAGAATTTGATGACTCAAGACTGCTGCTTTTAGTATCATCAATTTAACATTTTCCTACAGACTCGTCACTCTGCTAGAAATGCTACACGTATTTCACATATCAAAACAAGTAGGTTTTATTTTATTCTAACTCTTGTTGTCATTTCAGGTCGAAATAAAYACAATTTTGACCCCATCAATTTTTGCTGTTTTATTTGTTGTGAAAACTTAAATATTTTTGATTTCTTCTTACAGACTTGAGCTAAATTTAGCAAAGTCCAACTAGATATATAACCAGAAAAACTGGCAGCTTGACAGAACAGGTTTGGTGGTTGTTAGAATTTGCTTTCATCTTACCCGTCTCATTTACTTTCTGTATCGATTAAAAAAATGTATATTCTGGCTATGAGCCACCATTTAAAGATTTTTTTATAAAAAAAATATTTTTTAGAAATGAAGCCTGACTGGAATAATGCTATCAAACAACAGACATGTGTTCAAAACATTATTAAACATAAATAAATGCGGAAAAGTTCAGCATTTTTTTAGATGAATTCCAGCAAAGATGCAGTTAGACTCAATTATTTATAATGATTTCATGAGATAAAAAAGAACTGACGGAGGAAAAAAAAATCACTTTTATTAATGATATCAAAGTAACAACATATAAAACATTTGTTTGAATTCAGTAATAAACATTTATAGAAAGTTTCATTCTAAGCTTATTTTGTTGTAGTTGATTCATACCTGAGTCAAGACAGCAAGATCTTTCCCACATATTTTAATAAAACTAAAGATAAAAACAAATGAAAACTTTTTTATGTTAGGTTGAAGAAAATTATGTATATAATTGCAGAATTACAATAAATCAAAGCTGAATAGATGAATTTAAACTTTACTGAAAAAGGCAATAGCTTACGTCTTTTATTAATATTTTATTTATTAAAACTAACTTGATGAGCATTTGCTTTAAAATATAAATGTGTTTTTGCAGCTGTTATCACTGTATGTAAGCAGTGTTATAAATAGAGTTTTAAATGTGGGGTTCTATAAAAAATTACAGTTAATATCTTACCTGTTGTAGAAAGTACATGAATGATCTCTGGAGAGACTAAAACTGAGTCTGGCTGTGCTAACAAGCTAACTGCTAGTTGTTGCCTAGACCAAAACGGATTGTTTAAATCAGGGGTGCCCAAACGTTTTCCCTGAGAGGGACAAAATTAAAATCAATCTGAGGGCCGTGGGCCAAATGAAATAATATAAGAAATGCTTAATACTTAAGTAAAGTTGTTTTATTTGTTATGATTAAGCTAGCAGCCAGTGTGGTTGCCCACATTCTTTAGTTTTTTTTTTTTCAGCCCATGGACATGGAGAAAATTTAACATATGCTCGGGCAGCAATGACTCATGAGACTTTTCATAAGTTAAAATTTGAGTATATGTGGTCTTATAAGGTGTGCAGATCTATATATGGGCTTAAATCTAATCTAAATGTMTCTTGTAGTTACTTGTATTTAATATTTAATCTTAACATAATTACAATCTAATAACCAGGACATCTACTGGTGGGCCAAATCAAATGCCTTGACGGGCCAATCTTGGCCCGCGGGCCCCACTTTGGGCACCTCTGGTTTAAATTAAAATGACAAAAAATAAAATAAAATAATGCAGGGTGAATCAAAAATCTATTTGCAACAGGTAAGATGTTAACGGCTCATAAACCGTAACTCACATCACTCATTTCTAGTCAGCAGTGATAAATAATGTAAACAATTCTCAAAAATAAGAAAAAGAAAACAGTCAAACTCGTGTGTTTTCAGTCCTTCACCTCAGAGGAAAGTGAAATCTCGTGGATTGCTCATATGTGTGGAAATCTGTTCCCGCCTGCGTGGCACGTTTTCAGCAGGCCCGCTGCGATGGCTTTCACGGCTCTCATGGTCTCGGTGCAGGTGGGGTTGATCAGAGACTCGGGCAGCAGGAACCCAAAGTGTCCCGTGTCCCTTAACTCAAACGCAAACGCGTAGGGGATCCCCTTCCTGTAGGCCCAGTCGATGGAGCTGCCAGAGCTCAAGTCTGTGAGGACGAAACAGCTTTAAGCGCACGAGGTAAGGCTGAACCGTAAACCTACGGTTCGTCATGCGTTTTGAGCTAACTTTCCCATCATGCAGCACGTCGGGACCGTTTTAAACACTAAAGAGAAGTAAAGAGAAAACAACAAAACAAACTCACAAAGAGTCGTGGAGGCCGGTCCGTATCTGTACCTCACTCCRTACGCAGAATACAAGGCAGATACTGCATTCTGAGCTGCCGACTCCTGAGAAGAGACGTTAAAGAGACATCCTTCTTTTTTGCATTTAAAACATTCAGTTTGGGTTTACGTAAAGTGGAACTGTAATGCTTTAGTCTGAATTCCTCCTTATTGTAACCCCCCCCCCCCCCCCACTTTCTGAGGTGTGTCTCAGATCAACTCGTTTTGAGGCTGTCTCTTTAAAACAAAACCCTTCACATCCCACACAAAATACGTTTAACAGCTAAAAACAATGTATTAAATGCGCAATATGTCCCCTTTAAAATGAAGAGTGTGCAAATTTATTCCAACAACGTCATTTAGGAAGTCTTACCACACAGCTGAAGTTGGGGATGGTGGCGTACTTGTAGGAGTACGGGTAAAGGAGCATTTGAGCGTAGGCGTGGATGGAAATGTAGGCTTTTATCCGCTTCTTGTGCTTGCGCAGAAACTTGGCGACGGCCTTGACTTCAGGTTCGGACTCGGGGAACGGGCCGCAGTAAGTGTCGTCGCACGGATGAGAGGAGGCGCCTTCATCTGGGGAAATGATGCACAGTAAAACATTTTCTCGCTGATATTTTTTAGTAAGAAAAACCTAAAGACCTACTCACGAGGACTTTTTCAGTGTATACCTGAAAAATGAGAATGTTTGCGCTCTCGCTGAAAATCAAAGAAAACATCTTTCATGTAGACGCCGAACTGTGAGCTGATTTTTCCCGAGGACACACCATTCATCCTTTAATCTACTCTCTGTACATTTGAACTGCAACAACCTTGTTTTCTCTCAGCCTTGGAAATAACTGCAACAAGACGTTATTTATCAGATCCCAGCCTGGGTCTGTTGCCACGTGTGAGATTCAATTTTGTTTCCTTTGATCAAAGAAAGAAACTCACCACACCATTTCACCTTCCAGTTCCTGTTGGCGTCCACTCCTCTGCACTGGAACATGTGGTCTTTGGACCGCGTCTTCCTCCAGAATCGATCCTGCAGGTGAAAAAAAACAACAACTCTCTAATACAGACAGTCTTATTATCTAATTGTTTTCACTAAAAAAAGAAAAGAAAAAAYGATTGACCGAAGTACGCACAGAGTTCCAGCTGAAATGGTATCCATCCACGTTGAGGACAGGCATGACGTAGAAGCTGAGCTGGTTGAGCAGTCGCGTCGTCACCGAGTCGTACTTGTAAGAGTTGATGAGCTGTAAAATGAAATCATCTGTGAGAGGGTTGGTCTCCATCACAGGGTTACGAAGACAAACAACCACTCTCGCCTACAGACAATTTAAAGTTACTGATTTAACTCAACATGTGTGTTTTCCCACGCAGGGAGATGATTCTGAGACCTCACTGAGAGGCAACAGCTCCAACCACTGCTCTGCCTCAGAGTTTTAAAACCAGTTGACTTTTTTTTTGCATTAAGTGCAAACTTTTGCACCTTTTTTTTGAAGTGACATGCTGATCATATTTTAACTCAGATTACCAGTGCAGTTATGTGATTAGAACATTGGATTAACCCTCCTTATCCTCTGTAACCAGATATAGGCCAAGGTTACTGTGCCTTTTAAAAAAAAATGACACACTGACCTCTAGTGGTGTATCTGAGTTACTACACCAAAACCTATGTATTTAAAGTCACAAGTTTTGAACTTTTGATTTTTGTTTGCATAATTTTTATTCGTTATTTTCTGCCACTCTGTTTGATTTTCACTCCTTACTGTCTTTCTGCTCCCCCAGCATCTTTTTTTCTATGTCTTTTACAAAAACAAAACAAAAAATTCTGCTTAATTTCAGTCTCCTCTCTTCTTCGCTCTCCTGTCTCTGACCTGAAAATTAGGGTCTCAGCTCAACATTTTTAAAAACTTCAGGATGGAGAAACCAGAGATTCCAGAGACTCTGTAACCCCCCCGGTCCCCAGTTATATATTACTGAGCAGTTTAAAATTGCAGAATCTCTCAAGTTTTTTTGCCCTAACTCCTCAATACTTACATTTTTTTGTTTCATCTTCTCTGTTCAGATCTCAAAGAGAATCTGTGAGCAGAAAAGGCGAGGAGGTAAAAAAATAAAAAGCTGAGGACTGTTTTAGTTGGACTGCGTTGGTTCACTACATGTTTGAAAGGTTTCCGGTCATCACGGTTCATTTTGAGAGTTCCAAAAAGACAAAACTTTTCCAGCAAGCAGAATGAAACCTTTAAAACTGACAGAAAGACTTCACTGAAGTTTATTTCTCAGACTCTTATTGTGTTACACTGCTTTGCCGCTCATCTGGATTGTAAATGGTTTAAAACAAGATAATAAATTCTTGCCATTAGGCTTTGGTGTGGTTCTCATTTGAAAGGGCTGTGTAAATGTCTGGACCGGTGTCTGCAGCATTACTAACACCATGACAAGTGATGCTATTCTCTTATTTTAAAAAAATGAACATGATAGATGGTCTATTGCAGACCTCTGGTTAGACTATCAGTGATCCAACCTCTTTGACAAACCACTGGCAGAAAGCAGGTCCAATCCACTCCCTGGCGTGAACACCACAGTCCATCCACATGGCTTTCTTCTGAGGACGACTTCTTTTTCCGACCTGACGGGAAACAAACCGTCAGTCTCCTCCGGCTGCTCAGTCGTTTGCAACTTGTTTTCTCTTACCTGAAGCACGTAAAGGGGTCTCCCTTCATAGGACTTCCCAACGGAGAACATGCTGACCAGCTCCGGGTTGGTTCTGTTCATCTCAAACATCCAGGTTTGTATCTTCGGTGCAGAAAACAGTTTTTGTGAGTTTGAATGTTTGTGTGTACGGAGGACCGAAACTGTCATAAATAAAAGCAGAAACAGATAAATGGACCAATAAATAAATAAACTTAAAATTGATCAATTAACTTAAAAAATGAGAACTTTGCCTCATATTTTATAATTTATCTGACCTTCATATTTATTTTTCCAGCTTAATTCCAATAAGTCATATATTTTAGCACATAATTTACATTTTATTGTATTTAATAT